ATTTATGACAACTAGATAAACTTCTTATTAAATTATATTAACAATAAAAATAGTGCCGGAAAATTTAACTATATAATAGAAAATATGTATAAGATAAATATAATACTCGGGACGAAAAATGTAAAATTATCATTTATATGCATATCAATTAATTATCTCAAACAAATAAACGCTGGACTAAAAAACTTTACTTTACACATTACTTTGTTTCGTCCCAAAAACGAGAGATCTCGCCTTCGGCGAGAGTCTGGACCTTAGTCCTAACTAGAAGTCCTTTCTTTCTGTCTAGTCTCTATATAAACCCAAAATTAACATGATAGTTGTTAGAATGCCAACATTCTACCTTGAATTCCCTAGTTCAACGTAAGCAATTGACTGGAGTAATAACCTGATTATTTGTTTTAATTCCATACGTGTGTTCCTTTTGAATTTTTAATTGAAAACATTAAAAAACTTTTTTAGAATTTTTGGTACATTATTTATATTTTCAAATAATAATGCCAATTATTACAATGTTATTACGTCCCTTAAAACAACATCGCCCAAAGGCTTGGTAACGTTATGTGCTAGATGGGTAGGCTGAGGCATTAGGCAAATCTGTACGCAAACATGTGAAAATTTTATCCGCTATTTTGACGTCTTAAGTTTGACGTATTATGTTTGTTTCTAGCAAATAATTGAATTCAGCTTATACTTTATACAAATAAAACTAGAATAAAGATATATATAATGCTTGGTATTCTCTGTATCTGTAACGTGTGGAAGGTGGGTTACCCCCACGGCAGTTAGGCCTCATTAGGCCCATTGTGCATCCTCCTAAGATGAAAGGCAGCTCCTAGCTCGTGAGTCAACCTACAGATTTAATGTAGTTGACAACGTCGCCAAGAGGTGCTTGTTTTATATCGGCCGGTGTTAGCCGATAATCGCCGAACACAAATCTTCTAATAAATGAGAGCGTCGAGTAATCGTAAAGGATATGCTCGATGGTCTCATCTTCTTGTTCGCACCCTCTGCAGAGTGTGGATTATATATTATACTCTTCAAAGTTTAACAGGTCCCCTTAACCCCCATTTTCAATCAATTTTTTTCAGAATCAATAGGCTTCATCCCCTTATAAATCTTGATTTTGCCTGAAGGTTTAAATCATTTTTTGTTTCTGAATTACCTTATAGAGCTTGCTTTTTAATAAATATTTCCTGTTGAAATCGCTTTTGGTTTTTGATTTCTATTTTTTTTTATTTCAACCCCCTTGACCCCCATTTTATTCAATTTTTTTTTAAATCGATAGGTTTTGTCCCCTTATAGAGCTTGATTTTTACTAAAGATTTCATATTGATATCACTTTTCGTTTCTGATTTGATTTTTTTTAATGTCATCCCCTCTTAACACCCCATTTTTAATTATTTTTTTCAATCAATAGGCTTTGTCCCCTTATAGAGCATAATTTTTCCTGAAATTGTTGTTTCGTTTTTGACTTATCGTGCGGAAAAAAACCTAAGGTCGGACGGTCGGACAAATTAAACCTATAATAACTTCACAGACTACTGTGTGAAGAGAAGAGTATAATAAAAAGTACTTCTTTAATTATTATTGAAAAAAAAATGTAAATTAAATTTAGTATCTTTTTTTGTTTTTCGGTCTTTTCATGTATCAATTAATACCAAAACGCCGGCGCCCCGTTGGGGCTTTTCGCCCCTAGGCAATTTCTTAATGGTAAATCCAGCTCTGACTCGCATAGTTTTTATCACAAATATCCTCTAGATGAAGACTGGATAAGAATTTTTAATTTCAGATTAGCCTTTTGCGCAGCGTATCTCTTGGCCTATATATCTGACCTTTGTAAATGCTAATCCATAATAAAAGATAAAATGACTTTTATAATTTTTTATTATTGAATAAACATAGGTACAAATATTTATTAAAAAACATATTATACATTAGCAACAAATAAATATTACAGAAGTGTTGGTATAGCCAAATATTTGGCATTGTAACTTCAAATGACACATATACAGGATGTCTTTAAAAACCAGCATAACTATAACTATTTCTCAACAAGGTATATACATCGGTACATTCTGAATATAAAGTATTATCCTCCGTTCTAACTTATATAAGGGTAGGGTGTTCCAGAACACATGCCAAACAGAAACCCCAAATCGCTCATTTGCGAGAATACCGGCACACCTCGAAAAACTTCAGTTCGAGATGATCAAGTTTAAAAAATGATTTAACAGGCTGAAACTTGAAAGTGTCATTGTTTCTGTTTAAAGAAGTGCCTTTTATATTGATGCAATAATCTCAGAATTGATTAATTTTTTTAAAAACTTTTGCCGGTATTCTTGCAAATAAGCGGAATATTAAACTTGATTTATGTTGATTTAACCTAAATTACCTTAATCCAAAAATGCTCTCTATAAGGGAGTTTGAGTTCTTTGAAGTTGGCGCCTTTATTAAGTAAATTTTTTCAACATACTTCAAAAGTTTAAACTTTGCACATTGGTTAAGCTTCAACCGCTGTAAATTTGTTTTTTTTTATTGTAATCACAAGGGACTGAAACAGGGGATCAACAGACTTTTTCAATTATAATTTTTTATCTTTATTTTTTTTAACATTTTTTTTTTGTCATTTTGTAAACTGTAAAGGTGCATTATAGATATAACGCGCCGTGCCTGGCCTGGGACAACAGATTTGTAAGGTGTTGTGGATCTACCGCGCGATGGAAAGCAACGGGCCTTCTTAGATCCTATTTAACACGGCCCGTGGTGGCCTGTTGTTGGGACGACGCAGGCACGACTCGAGCCAGGCCCGCCATATTTATATGCACCTCTAGGTAGCTTCTAAAAATAATGCATTTGTAAAAAATTGCTATGAGAAAGTCTGATTTGAGCGTTTTGCGTATATTTTGATTACTAAATTAATTTAAACAACAAAATGTTAAAGATGCAAACTGGATATAGTTTTAAAGTCAAAAAATTAGTATTAATTGTTAAAAAAATTGATTTAAAGGCATTACTTTCAACTCCCTTATGAAGTATTTTTGGATTAAGGTAATTTGGGTTAATCGAAATAAAATCGAATCTAATATCTGGGTTCTCCGTTAAGTAAGCGAGTTGTGGGACGTATATATACAGAGTGTCTAGAAATAAACTGTTAAATTTTTCAACCAATTAAGTATCTATTTACAAGACAAAATGAAAGTTGTAAATTAAATAATAAAAAATTGAATAACAAAAATTATTCGATTTTCAAAGAGAAAACCTGGCATAGGAGCATCAATTATTATTATTGACAATTTTACGTCTGTGTGTTACCAAATTTATTGAAATTAATCAAATTTCAAACTCTAATAACTCGGTTATGATCATATACCTTTTGAAATAAGTTGAAAATTCGGAAACAAATCTCAAAAATCCCCTACGAATTATCAATACCATCCCCGAACCCCAAAGGTGAAAACAAATACTTGGAGATTTGAAAAAACCTGTGGCCGTCTGGATTCGAACCCAGATATCTTTGTTCTGTACATAAATGCCCCACCTCTAGACCATCACGACATTTACTGTCGAGATTCCTAGACGGCAGTTTGATGTGCTAATTCAGGCCAAAAGCCGTTTCAGGCTCATCTTCAAATACCTCTATACAGCATCGGTGTATATGAAAAATGCATTTAGATGCATACTGAGCCCATATCTTCGTCTGCTTGAGTTAAGTTTTCAAGGTACGATAAGAGACGTAAACCTGTGTATGAAAATTGTAATTTAATATCGTGAAATCGAAATCCGAAAAATTAGTATATCTGAAATATAAATGGCTAAAATAATTTGAAAATTCGGAAACATATCTCAAAAATCTCCCTACGAAATATCAAAACCATCCCCGAACCCCAAAGGTGAAAACAAATACTTGGAGATTTGATAGTCAATGTCGTGATGGTCTAGAGGTAAGGCATTTGTGTACAGAACAAAGATGGCTGAGTTCGAATCCCGCGGCGACAGCCTTTTTTCACCATTGGGGATAATTCGTAGGAGGATTTTTGAGATTTGTTTCCAAATTTTTATCCATAGGTTTACGTCTCTTAACGTACATTGCAAACTGCATTTCTCATATACACCGATGCTGTATACAAGTATTTGAAGATTTAAGAACGAATCTGAAACGGCGCTTGGCCCGAATTAGCATATCAAACTGCCTTCTAGACATCTCGACAGTCTATGTCGCTATGGTCCAGTGGTTAGGGCATTTGTGTTCAGAACAAAGATATCTGGGTGGCGACAGGCTTTTTTCAAATATCCAAGTATTTGTTTTCACCTTTGGGGTTCGGTGATGGTCTTGATAATTCGTAGGGCGATTTTTGAGATGTGTTTCCGAATTTTCAAATTATTTCAGCCGCTTATTTTTCAGATATACTGATTTCGATTTGCGATTTCTCGATATTAAATTACAATTTTCAAAATAGCTTTTGGTCGAATATTTGCATTGCATTTTTTGTTACACCATGTATTTATTTTTAACGTTCTTTCTGTATAGACTTATTTTTGCAGTAACTTAATTAAAAAGAGAATAAAACTTGACATTCATGGCGCAAAAAAACATTTAGGGCTTTTATTGTCATTGAACAACGATGATTCAAAAAAGCTTTGTGTAACTTTGACAAACGTTTAGATTGTGAGTATATTTTAACGTTCGTATCATTCATATAGATCGCAATCACAAAATTAATATTTTAACGAAAGTTCTTGCAACCGGCTGTTAAACTATTGATTTTTAAAATTGTATTCTTATGTTTCTGAATTCTCTTGTTTTAAATTTTCCTAAAATAACTAACTTCGAATGAAAATAGAAGCCCAGAAAAATATTTATAGAAATCTATAAATAAACTTCTATGAATTTATAACTTATTGTCAAAAATATATTTATATATGTACATATAGTACAGTTAAATGTCTATTAGAACTACCTTTGGTTACAACTAGTCTCTAATTTGTATTTATTACAGTTAAAGCTTATCCAAGATTATCTAATTGACACTTAACTTTACAATCTTTCATTTTAAAAACTTTATTATATCCTAATACTAGTTAACAAAAATGATCCTCTAGTACTGAGGATTCGGTGAGTGCTGATGATGATAGGTACCAGAACTGGTTCCATTAACAAGAACTTGTGGTGGCGCCGGATTTGGCCTATTTTCTGAAGGATTACAGTTTCTTCCTGAATATCCTGTCGTATTTTTCTGGACATTAAGGAATGTTCCGTTATTAGAGGCAGTAAAAGCATTTCTAGAACTACTAGTTGCAGTGTAAGAGCTGTAACAAGAGTCATCAGATGGAACAGACGTTTGCCCTCTTCGCTGAGATCCTAGTAGTCCATATACTGATTCCGGTCTGTTACTTCTAGTCTTACCTTCACCAGTCTCAGTAATAGCATTAGGTGGTACAGGTGGTCCTCTGGGCCCGTAGGGAATTTCTACTGCATGGGTCTCCCTCCTTTGTCTCTCAGACGTAGAATAGTTCTCACATCTTTGGCGCTCATTTTCTCTTTGACGTTCAGTGGTACCATGGGTTTCTGGTCTGTTAGCTACACCGGGAGTAACTCCTCTTACTCCATAAATTCCTTCAGATCTTTGTTGTAGCTGATTTTGCACATTTTGATTAGTAACATGGCTGTGTTGATTTACTCTTAGAGGATACATGGATTGAGTTGGTACTAAAGGTCCAGGCCTGGGTAACAAATCTTTATGAATGCCAGTATTACTCTTGGCGTAAACAGACTGAGATCTGTTTAAGTTAGCTCTGGTTAACGGAGGAGAGTTACAGTACAACGATTTGGTACCGCCGTAGATTGATTCTCCTCTTTCTAGCTTTGCTGCAGCAGGTGCTGAATATAGACTACCGCAATAATTGGAAGCTGCTCCTCCAACGGAAGCTCTGTAAGTATTGTAGTTCGAACCATGAAACTTGGGTGGCGCTGGCTTGTCTATATCATCGAAAGTGTCAATGTCATCGGATCTCATGCTTGATGATTCCTCATCCTGCGGTTCTTTTACTTTTTTGTGACGTCTAGGATTAAATATATATTCGTAAATTAGACCTGAAGCTATTCCGCCGCAGAAAGGACCTATCCAGTACACCCAGTGATTGTCCCATTTATTTAGCACAAATGATGGACCAAGAGATCTTGCAGGGTTCAAATATGGCATCTGAAAAATAGTAAAAGTAAGTGTCTTATGAACGAAAATTAATCTATAAAAAAGACATAAATTCATAAAAATACTTATTTTTACTTACAGAGACAAATGAACAGGCGGAGTAGGTAGCTCCAATCGTTAGGGAACTAGTACCAGTCCATTTTCTATAGGTGTCCATGGAAACAAAGTAGGAAAAAACAACTATGAAGCTTAACATGAATTCGATTCCGAATCTTTCCCATGGCGCGATGTTAGCAGTGTGACCAACAATTACTGAGAGATTTCCTTGATAGCCAGGAACAGTTACTCTGAAAAAGAAAAAATTGTTTAGAAAAAAACGTATGGTCATATATTATAATAAATATAAAGAAAAGCTTAAACAACTATTTTGGTTTAATGACTATTATATGATACAGATCGAGAAGTTGGTTTGGTGACAGAAACAATAGATTTGTTCCTATTCTGAAATGTGTCTGACTCGTGCATATATGCATTCGTAAATTAACCTCTGCGCATGTTAGTTAGTTTATTTGTCTTGTTTTATCAGCGACTTGTACTTGTTGGAACGCAAAATGCATCTCGCGGTTTTGAAGTGGACTTAAAATGTTAGTTACATGTATACTGTTAGAGATAATTTATCTTATTGTTAACACATAAAAATAGTTTTTTAAAACTATATACATCTAAAAGAATGAAATAAATGCAATTTATATTTGAAGATGATAATATGGTGACGCCCTAACCAAAACGAATATTTATATGTACCTATAATCGTAGAACTATAAAATAATAAAAAGTAAAGTAGTGATTTCGAAATGTCAGGGTAGAAATATATACTGCGCACCCGACTTTATCGATAAATGTTAACGAAAAAGTCTTAAAAACTTAGTGTCCTTAAAATTTTATCTATTATTTTAGATTTTTCTGTGTTAAAAGAAATCGTAATTATACGTTTTTATGTAAGCCTAAATATTTGTATATGTCATAGCTTCCACCGTCTCAAGAAAGTAAAATGGCCGTAAATTAAATAAAACCATTTAGTTAATGGACAAGGAAGCGTTAAGATCAAAGGGTTTTACACTGTTCCAAGAGCACATGCTCTATACAAAAGCAAAAAGTTCGCTTGTGATTTAAACGGTTTAGTTTTAATGCGGCTGTGATAAATGCCGCTCGATTTTAATACAAACCTAACCTTAAAATCTCCGTGTCGTATCAGTCGTTTGTGTTTTGTGTATTTTTAGAGAAATAATAATACGTATATTTTCAGCTTTTCTAATTATTGTAAGTACACTACTGTTCGACATGATGCAAAATGCGGGGTTCATTTGGGCCACGTATAAGAAAATGGGATGAGTTTAGTTTTATTGTTTCTAAAAAGAAGTAGTGCAGTTAGTCTTTACGATAACTAAATTGATTTATTTAAGAGCGTTCCGTTTTAATATAGCTTTCTAATTGCATTTAAGAAATCCGTTATCAGGTAATTTAATGAAATAGTTTTGAAACGCAATATTTACTGACCAAATTATCCTAAGATCAAGCAGATTTAATAATAGGTTGTATTAGTTACATTAAGAATCTCTTTAAAACTACTTAAAATTTTTAACGTCACAATCTAGAACATAATAAATAACGAATCAACCTGCAAGTCTTTCATAAAACTAAGTAGTTTTAAAGTTAATTAAAACTAAACCATTTTCAAACAACAACAAGATACACTTTTAAGATTAATTACCCTTATTAGTGAATCTTATTAGATACTTTAAAACCAGTATTAAATGCTAAACAGATTTTAAGTGACCGCAGTATATCTACAAGGTAACTTTAGAACCAGAATCTTTTTATTTACCACATTAAAACCATTTTAAAACTCAAATAAACCCAAAGTGTTTTTATGGTACTGCATTGGGCTATTTTCAAACTCGAGAGAATTCATTTCTCTCAAGAGAAATGTCATACGTCAACGTAAAACAGTATTTTTAGGGCTAGTGTGAACTCACTGACTGTTTCCCTCGGTTTATTTAGAGAGAATTAAAATTCTCCTAAGAATTTTAATATAATAATAATACTCCCTTTAATTCACCCCCTTACGAGTGAATTTTAACCCCAAAAGCTGAGCTATTATTATTATTATATTGTCGTGACGCTCCGGGGCGACTTAAAGATGATTGATGGTGCCATTTGACTTACAGGTGAGGAAACCCCCACCCACCATCATCGAAAACGGTAGTGCATGGTGATTTTTTATTTTAATAATATGAATGTCATATCAACAGAAATTAAATTTCTGCTAATATGGCATCCATCAAATTCTATAGAGAACCATGCAAATAAATTCACATGGTCTTCCGTAGTATCTGAAACCGTGTCTCGTTTTACCAGAAAATTGGCTGATAAATGAATGCTGCGCCGTAGACACCTACACCACCGTATTCGAGGCCTTTAAAAACAGCGTTTCCACATTGTCATATGACATTTCTGATGAGAATCTTGAGAGAAATTAGTGCTCCCATACTTTGAAAATAGCTCCCCAGATAGGTTGCTCCGCTCTGTAACAGTTTGCTCCTCATTGTTCCACTACGCGCGTTATTATGATATTATTATGAATATGAGCGATACCGTAATTGCTGCCATTGCATTTATTTTTATTTTCATGAGTCCAGTTCTCCGACATTTAAAATTTGTTAAAACAACAAGAAATGATAACAGAAACACACAGGAATGCAATGTTTACTGGTACTACGTCCAAATTGATCGCGCAGAAACGCCTACCAACCTCGAATTTCTTTTGATGTACCGACAACTGGTGGACAACCGTGGAACAACAACGAACACGCGCAGAGCCAATCGTTTTTCCGCATTTCCACGTCTACACTAAATGAAATTGCAACCTGCAACCTGCAACCCCTCCACCTCCATGCTGCAACCGTTCAAGAACGCTTTGCACCGCTTGGCACGGCCGGTCTGGATCCACCTTTATGTTATGCCGCTACCAGAGTCAGTAAGAAACTCTTGTATTTCATCCTCAGTATTGCCAACCTTCAAGTATACTTTTTCCCTCTTCTTACCTTAAAAATTCCCACTTTTATAAAAAAATTCCCTCCTGTTAATAAAATCGGTTTTATATCAGAAATACAAGCATCTACATATTTTCCAAAATATATTTATTAAAAGAAAAATGAAGGTACGTAACAAAGTATAAAAAGTATAATCTAAAAAAACATAAATCTTTTAACAAAACTTTAAAAATATATTAAAGAATTAACAATTTTAATTTTATTTATTTTTAAAATCATACATTTTTCACAATTTGGACTGAAAAAATTCCCGTTTTGAGTTAAATTTTTCCCTTTTTCCCTTTTGTTTTGAAAATTCCCGCAAAACGGGAAATTTCCCTCCGGTTGGCAACACTGTTCATCCCGGTCTACTTGTAGTCCTCTCGAAACTAGCCATACTTACCCGGGAAAACCCCCAAATGGCTTTTGCCAATATTAAGTGGAATTAGGATTTTAGTATTACGATTTGATTTAAATAATAAAAGATTACAAGTACCTATCATCTCGGAAATCTTCAGGTAAATTGACTAGTTTGGACTTTGGACGTAACCTAGAGAATGATGTTTTTCTGACCGCTACACAGAAGTAAAATTTGTATTTAATATTTTACGTAAATGTGATTATACTCGTATTTAGAAACAAGTTTTATCTGTGTTATATTGTTCGCACATCGTAGGTTTTTTAATTTGAACTGAATTCAACTATATATGTATATATGTTCAATTATTTTCAAAATTAAATCTAATAAATTGGTTTATTTAGTACAAGCGGTAGATTTCAAGTACAACTGACCCTTGACCGCACTCATTGAATCCGTTTTGTTAAGATGATTATATCGTTGTCATGCAATCACTGCAATATGTTTGGTATGATAGGTACCTATGTACCTAGATGTCCTGAAATAATACAAACGTTTATTATAAAAGTAACTAAATTAAAGATAGAAAATAACCATTAGCATCGCTAGTCGTCAAGAAATAATAAGCGATTTTAAGCTTCACTTATTTCTGAGTAGTGCAAATGACCCTCTAAGGCTTAAGAAATATTTTTTTAATCGCAATACAAACGTTTGTTTTGGTAACTACTTTATAAACAATTATCATTATTATTTATTCTATTAATAGATCAATAACAAATGCTACAAGAAAAATAAATCACTGGATTCCTACTTGGATACAGAACTCTTACCACCCCATCTAAAACTTGACATAACTGCAAAACTTAGTAATAAAATAAACAAATCAATGATATGAGAACAAAAGAGGAAGGTACATTGTCACAGCTTATAGAAGACAATAAAGTCCAAAAACATTCAAAAGTAGTCTATATTCTGTATATCGACCCATCTACAAGGGGTCCATGTGAGAGAAAAACGGAATGGGGGGTTTGTGAGATGTAAACGGGTGTCTACGATTGTCAATTTCATTTAAGTAGGTCGTGACTTTAATTTTGATTTTCCAAAATTGGGAAAACTTGGGTTGCCAGATTAATGTGGCGACCGGGGACCAGGTTCAAAAACCAAGCATTTTTATAAAATCAAGTCCTTTCTTTGTGATATTTCTAAAAAAAAAAGAAAAAATAAGAAAAAAAAGAAGAAAAACAAAAAAAATCTGCATGTCGGTCCTCCTTTTTCTGACGAGATTCTAAAAAAAAAGGCTCTTGTCTCTTCAAAACGTTCTTTATTTACAGCTTTGAATATTAAAAATCTTGGCATTTGCGTAAAAAAGCGGAACGTCTGGCAACTCTAGAAATAATCCACTCACAAAGATGATTTGTTGCTTAGTTTTTACCTGAAAACATACACAAATCGACGACGATTAGTACTAAAATTGTACTATTGTAGATTTTGTAAACAAATACCTAACTTTTTTTGCAATTTTATAATATTAGGTAGTAGCGAATTAATATATATCTCATAATATTGTGTAAGTAACTAGTAGAAACTTGCATTTATACATCTACCTATGCGAAGTAGAAGCACTTATCCATTCTTGCCTCAGTCATTCGTAGACAGCGTAGAAACTAGTAGCTCATACAGCACACATTATTTCAGAAGTGTTTCAGAAATATTTCAAACGTTTCAAGCACAAGTTTCTGAAATATTTTAGTTAAATATTTTACTGAAAACCAGTTTTATTTATTAGTTCTACAGCTGATTGAAAAGTGGAGCTTCATGTTTTGTGTAGGTATCAGTATTGTTTGTTTTATTATATTTAATTTAAAACAATATTAATAGACCTTTTTAATTACCTATA